TCAAGACTGCTGGTGTGCAAGGTCAGTTTTCTGCCTGACAAAATTCAGACTGTTGCTATCAAGCCAATGTTTACAGCGTGCAAGACGACTTGCAGGGTATTACTGCAGCTGTCTAGCAGATTACAGTAAAATTGCAATAAGTTGAATCACAGGGGACATGCCTACACATTTGTGATAAGCAGAGCTTTGAAATACTGAGGACATCCATATGTAATCCAATTTGCCAATAAACGCACTCTATATGAAAAAGTCAAACTATAACAACAGTGGGTGATTATCACTGCTGCATCACAGCAGCAGGGCAACTGTCTGTGTGGAGTTCATGCATTCTCCCCATGTCTGCATAGGTTTCTTTCAGGTGCTCCAATTTCCTCCAATAGTCTAAAAATGTGCAGGTTAGGTGATTGGCCAAGCTAAATTCTCCATAGTGTCCATGGATGTGCAGGTTAGGTGAATTAGCCATGGGAAATGCGGGGTTGCAGGGATTGGGTGGGTGGCAGTGGGTCTGGGTAGGATGCTCTCTGACAGGGTGAATGGCCTCCTTCCAAACTGCGAGGATTCTATGTGAAACAGAGCAATTATGTAAAGAATGTCTTTTGTTTCAATTGTTTGTACCTCCTAATGGGCTGACGTGCTATGGGAAAAGGCAGCGAAAAACATTGGGAATTGATTGAAAAAGGCAGCTACTTGATGTGGTTTCTTAAGATGAGTCTGCTCTGACATCAATGCAGCTACACATGTTTTCTATGCTTAAGTGCTAAGCCCCAAAGCATCTCTACGCACTTTGCAGCTTCAATTAAAGAAAGGTCTGGGTAGAGGGTGGGCCTTCATTCAACTCTCCAGGGTCATGAGTGTCTTTCTTTTCAATTGATACATTTTGTTTACTTTCCTGACCAACACTGCGGAGCACGCTGGAGATCAGGCATGTGGTTTTGTTCCTGGCTCTTGTTTTGACTTTCCTTAAAAAAATAAGGCTTCTTGGACTTTCCTATCACAAGAAATGGCAGCTTTTCAGTGCCAGTCATGTTAGCATTGATTATAGCAGCGACACTCGCTTCACTTTCTGCCGTTCTACATTTCAGCTTTAAACATTGAAGTGTGATTTGGTAAAGGGTATTAAAAGAGTTTGGAATCATCCACGTTAAAAATATTACTTAACGCAACATCATTCAGGAAGGGTGCAAGACCATTTTGCAGCCATAGCTGCTGGTGTGCTGGAGATTACACATTCTTGTGGAAGTGATCTCAGTACCAGTCAGATGGTGCAGTCACATGACAAGCATGGACAAGTTCTGCTAATCTGGAATCATTCATCCAGAATTTTGGCCTACCATGATGATCCTTCATTGCATATCAGGGCAGCGCAGTGGCACAGTGGTTAGTACTGCTATCTGACAATGGCACAGTCCAGGTTTGATTCCAGCCATGGTGACCGTGTGGAGTTTGTGCGTTCTCCTCATGTCTGTGTGGGTTTCCTCTGGGTGCCCCAGTTTTCTCCCACAGTCCAAAGACGTCCAGGTTAGGTGGATTGGCCATGATAAAAAAAATTGCACCATAGTATCCAGGGCTGTGCAGATTAGGGGGAACTTTTTGATAAGGTCTCACACTAGAGGTGAGTAAATAAAATTAAGATAATATACTTGATTGAGAATTGGTTAATGGACCCAAGAAAACAAGATAGGAATAAATAGATTACTCACAGGATAGCAGGCTGTTACTAGTGGGGTACCATTCCTGAGGTGACAACTGTTTACAGTTTTTATAAATAATTTTGATGTGTGGACTAAAATATAATATTTCCAGATTTGTCGGTCACAGAAAATTCAATGAAAGTATAAGCTATGAGGAGGATGCAGGCAGCCCTAAGAGGTCTTGGGTAGACTAAGTGAATAGGCAAGAACATTGGAAAGGAATATATTGGAATAAGTGTTAAGGCATTCTTTTTGATAGAAAAGATAGAGTATGTTTTTAAATAGTGAGCGGTTGGGAAGGGTATGTGTAGAAAGGGTCCTGGGTGTCGTTGTTCATGACTTACTAAAAGTAAGCCTACAGGAGCAGAAAGCAATTATGGTGTGTTTGTTTTCAGCGCAAGGTGATTTGAGTACTCAAGTAAAGATATTTTGCTGCATTTGTATAGAGCTTTGATGAGACCTCACTTCCAGTATAGTGTACATTTTAGGCCTCCTTATCTAAGGAAAAACATATTTGCCATAAAAGGAGTGCAATGGAGGCTTACCAGTGTATTCCCTGGAATGAGGGAATGTTTAATGAAGGGAAATTGAGGCTTTATTGTATAGAGTTTCAAAAAATGAGATGTCACCTAATTGATACTAACAAAAACCTGACAGGATTTAATGGAATATATTTAGATAAGATGTTTTCCTGACTGGTGGGTCTTGCCAGAACCAGAGGACATAGTCTCAGAATAAGGGGAGGCCATTTAAAACTGAGATGAGTAGAAATTTCTTTATTTAGTGAGTTGTGACTATTTAGAATTCTGTACACCAGAGGTCTGTGGAAGCTCAAACATGAGCACGTTCGAAACAAACATTTTTAGATTTCTGGACACGAATGGTATCAACAAATATAAGAGTAGAAAAGGAAAATGGCAACTTCCAAAGGCCCAGTGTGAGCAAACAAGGCTGAGTCCTCATCTATTGTGTAGGTGTAACAATTGTCTGTGCAGGATGCCATGGGGAGTCCAGTGTTTGATGTGATTGTAGAGTTGGAAGGGTGCTTTGCACTGCTGACACTCTCTTTTCAAAGAAATGTGGTGCTCAGACCAGGAGCAGCAGCAGGATGGTGTGGTGAACAATGAGCACCTAGCTCAGAGAGAAGGCACTGCTGCAGGCCCCTCAAGGCTGGTGAATTCCTCAGGAGGCCCAGAGGTTTCTAAGTCCCAACTCCATTTCCTGGAGATGAGCAAGGTACAGTGTTGGTGCAGACTCCGTATATCCTAGGACAGTGCGATGGAACTGTTCTGGATACTGGAGCAGGACCTGAGGGCTGCATCCCCTCCCAATGTGAACATGAAGCTGCTTTGATCTTCTGCACAAGTGACCAGGGAGCAATGGGTGACCTGTGCTGGATCTCTTAGTCATGCAGCCACAAACATATCAGGACAGCAACCGATGCCATCTGTGTACAATTTCCTGATGACGAAGTCAGTGCTGTATCCCAGGCAGTAGGATTCGGGAACATAACTGGCATGCCCCAGTTGCAGGGCGCCATCGACTGTACACATGTGGCACTGAGAGGGCAACATCACAACACCGAACAATTCACCAACAGGAAGGGGCTCCTTTCAGGTGATCACTGTTATCACTTCCTGGCCATTCAGTATAGTCATGACGGAGTGTGCCACACCTTCATGCCCAGCACAAATGGGGCAGGCAACAAGACGATGTCCAGGATACATATGAACGGGGGGAACAGGCCCAGCCTTCTGAGGAGGAGCATAAGTAAACTGGAAGGACGGAGCTTTCCTAGTCCATGTCAGAACTCAGCTGAATTGGGTGCTATAAACCAGACAGAGCCTCAATGACAGCAACTTCCAATTAAAACTGGGTGCAGCAGACAATTGTAAACTAGTTCCATCATGATGCCAAAATCTGGTTGATATTGTGGGGGCAAAATTCAGCCTTAACTTAGAGGAAGGGTCACTGGACTCAAAACATTTGCTGCCAGACCTGCTGAGTTTTTCTAGCATTTTCTGTTTTTGTTTCAGATTTCCAGCGTCAGCAGTTTTTAAAATTGTATTTCAGCCTCTGTTGGCTTCATTTTTGTTTCCTTTTGTGTTGTGTAAATAAAAACTCATGTTTGTGTTGTCTAATTGCTTGCCTGTACATGATGTTCCGTTGGACAATGACAAGATTTGATTTTTTTTATTCTTTCACGGGACAAGGGTGTGACTGGCCATGCGGCATTTATTGCCCAGAGTCATTGCTGTGGGCCTGGGATCACATGTAGGCCAGACAAGGTAAGGCGGGCAGTTTCATTCCCTATAAAACATTAGTGAACCAGATGGGTTTTTCCAACAATCAACAATGGATTCATGGTCATCATTAGATTTTAAATTCCAGATATTTATTGAATTTAAATTCCACCATCTGCTGTAGCAGGCTTCGAACCCAGGTCCCCACAATGTTATCTGGGGTCTCTGGATTAATAGTCAAGCTATAATACCACTAGGCCATTGCCACCCCAATTACAGTGGAGGGAAGGGAGTGCTGACTTACAGAGGTTGTTCAGACAGGTTGTCGCTACAGACAGGCAAAATGTATGGCCTGGTGGTTAAAAAGTGACTATGGTGATAGGATGGGATCGTATGGGAGTGTCAGCCATGCCAGCTATTTGCTATTGGCAACATGGCTTCGTGGCTACTGTGCCATTCTCTTGCCAGTGAGGGGCAATGCCAGATTGTCAATGCTTAGTTGGGTACACAACAACCCTTCAAAGATATCACAGGTGCAAGGGATGCCAGTGTTTCAGCATATTTCTGGGAATGGCACATGGTAAAATGGGGTGAAATTGGGCTTCAGCAATGGCTTAGAGGTGGGTTAGGCAATTAATGATGGCGAGTTTGGTAGGATCTTGGTAAGATAGGATGAGAAATCTCACTAGGCCTCGCAGCAAAAAAAAAATTCCAAAAAACTTGATGCAACTTGGACATAACCGAAAAAAATCTTAAGATTCCATCCTGAGTGTTGGAAATAGAGAAAAATAACACAACTAAAACATAATGCTAAAACAAGTTGTGAGGTTGTTAGATGAAGTTGGAAAAGAGGTAGTTCAATCACAGCAATCACAAAATTTCACTTGAGGTCTTTGTCAAATAAGAGAACTGTAGTTTGTTACCCAAGACAAAAGGATACCAGTAACCACGCTGCAAAGGTATATTTCTCCTTGAAGGAGGGATTTTATGACTAGGCAATGGCAGCCAGTAACTGCCAGTGGGAGGAGCCACAACACTAACAGGCTGAATGGATTGAAACATTTCCTGTGTGTACAGGAATGATTAGAAGCTTCTCAAACTTTAGTTTTGAAAGGTGCGTCTTTGAGTCAGGAACTGGCGTCGTAGCCAGACAATAAACACTGACTTAATCAAGATAGAAGCTGTTTAACGTAGATAAATACAGTTTGAATGTAGCTGAACAGCAATCAGAAACGAGTGATCATTCAAAACTTTTGTGTCAGAGGCAGAGGGACAGTTTGCATCCAAGTGAAGTCACCAGTTATGGGTTCTAACAGACAAGGAATTATTTCTTTCTTACTTCTTGTTCAAGGTATGGATGTTATCAGTATCAGTCGTTATTGTATTTCATTTCTCTCAAAGATTTGGGTTGTGGAAATATCTGTGAAAGGTATTTTTAGAGTTACTTCAATGTTTTATCTACAGTATTTGGGTATATTCTGCATTAAAATGACAACTCAAGTTATGAAAACTTTCACTTTTTAATGTGTTAGCGTAATCTTAGTTTGTACCTCTATCGAGCATAGATTTTTGGTTTGTGTTTTGCAGAAAGTGTTCCTCATTGTTTCGTTGTTGGCAAAAGTGTGTCTGTATGTAATGCTATTGTATGAGTCAACTTCAGTGTCTGTTTATAACTCCAGTATTGTACTGGTAAAAGTGACTAAATTCCTTAAAAATAAGTGACTACAATTGAGATTTTAAATGTATATTTATTCATGTGAAAGTTAAAGTTTGTGTACACCAGACTGATAGTCTGTTGGTAAATATCCCTAAAATAAAATGGCAATCTAAAAGAATGAAGTGTTCTGAAAAGTTGATATCTTCAACTGTTCTTGGTAACATTTAAATTGTCTTATAAATTCCATCAGAATGAATTGATTTGTTCAGAGCTGTAAGACAGATACATGTTTTATTTTAACTCCTTTACTGATTTCTCTCAAGGTTCACAAACAATAAGTATATAGCATGTGGAAATAAAAATAAAAGACCAGGATAGCTAAAAGACAACAATCCTATTACTTTTTGTACCTCCGTGTCAAATTTTCTGCATGCTTTGAACATAGAAAACAAACTACATTTTTAAATGCTCTCAACTGCATTGTACAGTCATGTACTGCAACCTAATCCTGAAAATTTACCAATGAACAGACCTTTTGCATTTGTTAACTGAACCTGAATTAACAGGAGGCACATAGGGTATGACAAAGGCACTTGCTTATAGCTCAAAGTCATGTTTGTTCATGTTTCAAATAGGCGTGTTACTAGATGTTTCAATGGTTTGTTTGCCTTCAGGCAATATTTTTTACAACGCGGGACCGCATCAGTTGTACTTTGAGCTTGAAACTATACAGTTGTGCAATGGTTATATGATGTAGGAATTTATCTGTAAGGATAAACTATTAATTCAGAGAATCTAGCTCGGATTTTATCAGCCTCCTGGAAACTGGCTGGGAGGTGGGAGAATAGTAAAAGGCACTTACATTTATTAGAAGGGATGCTCAATGTCTTTCCGCTTCCATGAGATATTCCCAAAAATGTGAACTGCAATTGTTCAGTCACTTGCCAACTGGAAGCATGTGGCAAAGAAATCCAATTAGCTGACCTGTTAATAGTTATTTTTCCAGCCCATTGGCATTTTATCGGTATTAATAAAGCAGCTCCCTGCTGTCTGGGACTATCAGTGCGGGGGTCATCAAGATGACTTTGCAGTGGCTTTGCAGTGTTGGGTGGTATGTGTAAGGGAAGACTGCTTTTCCAGAGGTTCCATATCGCGGATAAATACACCCTCAATCTGGCCACTGGACAACTCCAAATCAGCCGCTGAAGTGTTCCCCTGCCTAATTGCTCTGCCCTGCCTGACTCGCCTTGACACGTTCAAAACTCTTCTTTCTCACCTTTAGGAATGTGTCATGGGCACCCTCATGTCCTCTCTGCAACCTCAGAACCACCACCTGGTAATGTGGCAGGGTGAGGCTGGCACTGATTGGAGTTCACCATTGAAGCTTGGCAAAGTCTGGCAAGCTCTGATGCTGACCCAGATCTCAGCTGGGTACTGAGAGTGGGAATCTGATAGAGAGGGGCATGCCCAGGCCAAGAGCAAGTTTGAGCACATTCATTGAGCTAGGAAGAGCACCCTTGGTCTTCTTGGCTGTAACTTCTAAATGTTTCCGTTGTTTCTCGATTGATCTCCAGCTATCTCTTATTAAATGCCAGTGTGATCAGTCAACACCTTGTACAACTAGGCAAAGCTTGCGGATCACAAACTCCACTTAACCATACATGTATCTAAGCTGAAGTCCTGAAACTGGTTTTAGGATGTTGATTTGTTCAAGCGAATGAGATATCCTGGACACCTAAAGGGAACCCAGTCTCTGGGGGGTCCAGCTCTGTTGCAGAGCTGCTCAGATACAGGAGATTGCCATGTGAAATTTACAGGACAGGTAATCATTTTCAGACTTGAAAACTGGACAAAATAAATAAAAACTTCTCCCCCATTTATCATAGATGTGTCTTTACCTCACCTCTCTCCCACTCATATCGTCATTCACTGAGATCCTCTACTTGGCCTGTGCAATGCAAACTTGCAGCAGGTTTGCATTTATATATTCCTGCAGCATGCCTCTTCTGCATAAAATGCCTATTTAAGTTTCCTGATGAAAAACCCAATAATAGTATACTAATCTGACGAATAGAAATGTTGCTAGAACTTTTACAAGTGTATGCTTCAAAAAGATAAGCAGCAGTCATATGGATTGTTGTGAGTTCTTAATGTTTATTCCCCTTTTCAAGGAAACAATGATTGTTTTGTGTTGTCATTTCTGAGCTTTTCCATTCATACTGCCCAGCATCTAAACTTCTGCAAATGCACAATAATCATTTATCAATGCTTCATCCTGTTCCCCATCTGTCAGGATAAAGTTTCCTTTGTCACCCTTAAGTTACCATTTTGAACATGGATGATTGCAGCCTCGCTGTATTACAGAAATAGTCCTAAGAAAGTGACATTCGAAAAGGGAATCAAACAAAGGACCCTCATTGTTTGCTGTTCCACAGCAAAAGAAGGCTTTCTTTTCTGTAGTCACTAATGATTGATCAAGAACAGAGTGCAGTACAGTGGTGTCACAAAACAAATTCTGGTATTGCTTTCTTTACAAGTCATTTGGTGCTGGAATGTGGGTTTTTGTTTCTTCTTGTAGACTAATCATTAGTATTTAGTAATTGTCCTTGCAAGGTAATGTTCAATTACCTCATTCCACCCATTGCTAACTATCAATGAAGTACAGCAGCCATGTAGGAGGATTCCAGCTAATTCTTTGCTGATTGTTCAATGGAATGTCTGCTGGAGGCACAGTGTCTCAAATCAAGGAAAAAGCCAAGTTCTTTCATCACACATTCTGTCATATCATCTTCATTAATGAAACACACACAGTAGTGATGTAGTGTCACTGCCATACCCACAATTTCTCATTTGTCAGAGCACAAGGAAGAAGACCCACCAAAGGACATGTAGAGAGATTCAAATTTAAAGCAACACTGGAAGACAATGTTAATTGCTCCTCACTGGCAGCCATGCCTCCAGCTTCCTGGGTTCTAAGCTGTGGACTATTCTCCATAAACCAATCCACCATGCTTTCTCTCTCATCTCTCTTGAAAATGCTCCTCAAAGCCTAGCTGATCTAGTTTAGTAATAATGTACCGTCATAATGTATTACTATGTTAAATGCACTGTATTATGCATATTATTGTAATGTTGAAATGAAGTAGCCAATTTCCACACATTTATCTGTGAGAAACAGGAATGTGGTGATAGTTAAATTGTCTGTTGTTAAGTGATCTCACCTGAGGGATAAATATGATCCAGAACACTTGTGAGAATTACCTTGTTCTCCTTCAAAATAGTGCCAAGGTGTTTTTAAATCCACGTGAGAAGGAAGCGAGAGATTCAACCTGACATCTCATGCAACCCGCATGATCTCACACGGTATAGCACAGACTCAGTATTCTACTTAAATATCAACCTAATGACCCAAATCTTCCAGTAGCTCCATCTTCAGATAAGATGGTAAGTTGGAAATTGCATGTCAGGATGTTAGTCCTGATGCGCACATGTCCTGAAATTGCCCAACAAGTTTCAACTTCCAAAGGCTAATACTGGTACCTGTGACTATACAGAAGTGTCTCTGACCTTATGATGGGCCAATACATGAGACTTTCCTCCATTCTTACCCTGGAAATATTATGCTGGTCAGAAATTTTTTATCTGATCACAACAACAAAACCTAGGTTCACTGGTCTATTTGTACTCCAGCCAGGATTGGACGTCCCAGCTGAAAGTGTGCCGTATTGCCTCCAATGGAGAAATCTCCATGGGCAATGACATGGCATCCTTTATTGCCGCAGACTGGAATATATGGCCCCATGTGCTCAAGTCTCTGGAATGGGATTTGAATGGGAGGCAAGAATGAAAATAACTGAACCACAGCCGACAGATGTTACCTAATAGTTTCACACTTCTAGTAAAGAAGATGTAGAATGTAACATAAGGACAAATAGGAACAGAATTAGGCCATTCAGCCCCTCAAGCCTGCTCCACCATTCAATAAGATCATGGCTGATCTGCCCCAGCCCTCAATTTCTCTTCCATGCCAGTTCCTGATCGCCCAAATGTCCTCGATATTTCAAAAATATATCTAATACCTGCTGAAATACTTTCAATGACCAAACCACACAACTGTCATGGGTTGAAAATTCCAGATACCCATACCATCTGAGAGAAGAAGAAATTCCTTCACACCTCCATTTTAAATGAATGTCACCTTATGCTGTAACTATGTCCTTTAATTCGAGATTTCTTCCGTAGTAACATCTTCTCAACAACTACCCTGTCAGGTCACCTCATAATCTTGTATACTTCAGTAAGATCCCAAATCCTTCTTCTAAACCATACTGACCTGACCTGTTTATCTCTTCTTGATAAGCCAACCCTTTCACCCTAGGAATTTCTATTGAACTGCCTCCAATGCCAGTATGTTCTTTCATAAACACTGGGACAAAAACTGTACACGGTATTCCAGTTGAGGCCTGCCCAATATCTTGTATAGTTGTAACAAGATTTCCCTGTTTTTCATTCACACCACCTAGTAATAAAGGCCAGAATTATATTTACCTTCTTAATTGCTTGCAGAAACTGAATGTAATATTTTGACGTTTCATGCTTGAGAATATCAGATCGCATGGTACTTCTACTTTTTTGGAGTCGCTCCATTGAAATAATAGTCTGCCTTTTGATTCTTCCTACCAAAATGCATGATG